TGAACAGCCCGGGTTGATGTTATGGGTGCTGATTCAGATTGAAGGGTATCTCTCAAGTTTGCATTTATTATCACCAATCAGTCTGAAATATTGTTTGTAACAGTTCCTTCAAAGGAATCGAAGCATTTTTTCATTCTTTTATAACGCGGCACCTTGCGAATATGTTGTGCTGTATCACTCAAAGCTTTGAGTGATAAGTTTTCAAAGTGTTGAAAATGCACTTGTACATGAAAAATGTGCTTCCTATTGCGTAAAAAACCTCCAAGCTTTCATTCCACACTCCGTACTTTCCCTTGCTTTCCCTTTATGATTCTTTGTTCGTCTTCGCTCCATCTCTCTTCCCTGTGTTTATTCCCTCCCCCTTCACAGTCTTCACTCTGCTTCTTTCTCACAGTGTACAAGTGGGCCCTTGTTTTTTGTTTTTTATCCTTTCTTTCGCTCATTTAGTTCAGGAGTTAAAAGAAGAATGCGAAATTGAATGGTTTCAATGTGCCCTTGTTTTTTGTTTTTTATCCTTTCTTTTGCAAAGTGCGCTCATTTTGTTCATAGTTATGTGACAATACACACACACACACACACACACACACACACACACATTTCTAAAGAAGAATGATATGGGTAATGAAATTAATAAGAATTTAAATTCAATAAATGATAAATATAGGGTAGCCTGCTATTCATTCGTTCCGCTGATTAGGCTAGGCTACAGTGCCTTTTCGGAAGGTGCAATGGTATAATAGTTTACCAGGTAACAAGTTTTTTCGGCGGTAGGGTCCAGTTTTGTGGACCATGGGTCAGGTACCAATTCCGTTTTCCACGATACACGGGACGGGTACGTGACTGGGACTAGTGTAAGTCATTAGACCGAGGAAGCGACGTAATGTACAGGAATAGGTGTAGGTCTGCGAATATAAGCAATTACTGTGTTCTCCTCCATCTTTTTGGGTCTGACGCCGACGGAAGCCAACCTAAATGATGCTTGGAGCGACGTCGACGGCGGTGGGTGAGTCGATTGACAGAGTAGTCAAGGGAGAAGAAGGTTGTTCCCCCTGAAGAAGACAGCGTGACGGTGGTCGAAACCGGTTGGGGTGCCATACCCGCCGGGGACACAGCCAGTGCACTTTGGCTGTACGCATGATGACTTTACATCGAATGCAATACTGCGTTGTGTACTTGAGTTTGTGATGTACATGTGTGTGCTTCGTGTATACTTGTGTTTGCACATTGTTGCGATCTACTTGTGTATGCTTCGTGCATACTTGTCTTGCATACTCTCAATTGCATCTACAACTGTTGAAACCGCATGTGAACTTGTCTGGAGACGTGTTGCTGGGCGTTGTGTGAGCATGTGAGACTTCTTGTATCAGTGAGTTGAGTAGAAGATGATCGAAGATTGGTGACCGGAGCGATGTGTTGGAGCTCTGCGAGCAAGCGGAGAGCACGAGAGGCAGTAGTAGTTTGAAGGGTCGAGACTCACAGTGGAGTGAAGACCCAGTTAGTCACACCACTTGTGGAAAAATGGCCGACTGGAACTACCGAGATTACAGCAGAAATCCAAGGAACGACTCTTATGACAGGAGCCGAGACATTAAACGTGAGGAGCCGAGAGAACGGCCACGGGGAAGAAGCAGGGATGACTATGTGGAGCGCAGTGATAGAGGCTACGGAACCGGAGAGCACGCAAGACGGGGACCTCCGACCTGCTTCGAGTGTGGAGAGCCAGGTCACTACAAGAACCAATGCTGGAAAAAAGGTGAGGGAGCTAGCAGTTCGGGTACCCAAAAGACAGCACCAGTCGTGAACGAGGCAGTGAAGAAGCAACTCGAGGAGTTCGGCAAGTCCGTGGCTAGTTTTCAAGAGTACATCGAGAAGGAAAACAAAAAGAAAGAGGACAAGGAGTGAAGAAAACGCGAGAAGGAAGACCGTGCAAGACGCGAAGAAGTGGAACGCGCTGCTAAAGAGGAACTACGCTTAGCTAAGGGGCGACAAGCGGCGAAGAAGCAAGCCAAAAAGAAGAAAGAGGAAGAAGAGAAACTCAAGTTCGGGAAGACGATGCGCTTGCATATGGCGGTATGCATGGGAGGGCTTCGCGAGGAGATGCAGGAGGAGATGGGGAGAAATATGGAAGCATTCCAAAAGATTCTCAAGGGGAAGCAAAGGGCCACCTCGGCGGCACAATCATCATCAGGATCACAGGGATCCTACACAAGCGGATGGACCTCGAGTGAGGTAGAAGAGATCAGCAAAAGGGCGAAAAACTGACTATTACAAAGAAGCGAAAACGTAGCCCAGACAGACCTATTGGCAACAGTCCTCCATTGGAGCAGCCACTGAAGTGGACACCGAGGAAGACTACACTTAAGCCGGTAAAGCTAGCGAACAAGCTGCAAGCGACGACAATGAAGACCACCAAGAAAATGAAGATTCAAGAGGGTGATGGAAACAAGACTCCGAAACGGTATACACCGCAAAAGGGCACTCCAAAAACCAAGATTGCTGCCAAGACGGGATCAGCAGGGAAGGCGAAATTTGTCGTTGACAACATGAGGCAGCTCGCCGATTTTCACGTGGACGATCTCACAAAGTTTGGACGATCTCACAAAGTTATGTAGGCGTGAGGAACTACAATACGGCAACAAGGTGCTAGCCATTGTCAACGTTGCTGAGAAGCGGGCGGAAGAAGCATACGGAGAGGAAGAAGCAGAGACCAATAACCCGGTGGTATCAGCCGCTGATACCGTTGGTAGTACCGAAGCAACAAGCGAAGAAAGTGCGGAGGTTTGACAGACGATGGGCCGAAGCATCAAGCACCGTAAGCAATTGAAATTTGACTTGGCTATCGAGAGACTATATCGGGTGGTTGTGGTACTATTGGGAGTTACAGGAAGGGTCAAGTGGTTGACGAAGTATACAGCGTCATGGATCAAATTGTGCAGCAAGTGTGGACTGGATTTCTTAGACAAGCACAAGGGAGTCTACACACTCACTTCGCCACGATGCAAAGCATCATACATCGGGAAAACAAGCAGGGACGTTAATGTGAGGTGGAAGGAGCACGTACCAGCAAGCACACGGGACGAGAAGAATACTCACTTAATATCGCTGGTGGCGAGTGTTCGGATTGGAATCCTATGTCATGCTACCTGTCGACGAAGAAGCAGGGCACAACTTGGTAGAGCTCAGACAGTTGTACATACAGAAATGGTCACCTGTGCTGAATGTGAGCGGTGTAACCAGGAAATCACGGCGGACAAAGAAACCACGAAAGGGAAAAACTGAACGTGAACGGGCGAAGAGAGAGCAACGAACAAAGGGCGATGGTGGAGCTGTTGAAGTTATCAGGTTTCAACTGACAGAGGAGGACGAATGGCAGATTAACGCTCTCCAGGTGCTGGACCATGTGGAGCAAAAGGAGATGAGAACCTTCCAACTACATTCTGCCGGAGGCAATAGCTGGATCAAAGGGTGGAAGGAAGTAAAGAACGCATATGGCGCATCCGTCGTGGAGATCGATGGGCAAGAGACGAAGCTAGCCAAGTGCGGAGATAGCATCGAGCAAGGAAGTACCATCAACGTTAAGTACCTCAGGAAATGGAGACCGAAGAGCGGACCGGATAAGAAGACTCTCATAGCACTACTTCGAAACCCAAGAAGTGGACAGGACCTAGGAGCAGCCAACACGGACACTCTGTTCCGATTGTACAAGGCAGCCAAGGATTTTCAACAGAAGTCGACACGCTCCTACCTGAGGTGGATAATATCTCGGGTTATCAAGGAGAAGACAGGATGGGTTATGGGAGCAGATTTGACAGTGAATGTCAGATCTGACGGTCGAGTAAGACTAGCAGAGGTCAGGAAAGTGGTCAACGACAAGATTGAGTGTCTCGGGTTACCGGAGTGCATGGCGAAATGAACAAGAAGTAAGGTACGGACGGTCTGGATGAAGAACCAGTCCGTAGCGGAAATTTTGCACAACCAGTGGGTCTACGCCCGCGCGGCTGTGTCCACCTGCACGTGTGCAGGTCTCCCCTATCCTAGGATAGGAGAACATGTACGTTTCCGTCTGCATGAGGTAATAGGAGTTCACCCTATATTAAGCAATGCAAACAACGTACCGAAAGCACGACATCCTAGCCGAACAAAACTGCTCTGCAAGGAGATCGAAGAAGCTTTTGGACAGTGGAGGAATAGAGGGGACACGATCGTTCAGATTACGGAGAAAGAAGTGAGGACATGCATGGCGGGATATGAGGAATATGGAAGTGATTTTTTGGATGTTGAAGTTGTTAAGCTGACGAAGAAGAGGTTCGAAGGCCTCGTGCTCACGCCTCTAGACAGGAACCAAGGGGAGACGTTTGTCATGTGCCCCTACCTCTACTACGAGGCCATGATGGAAACGTTTGTGATGAATCCAGGATACAAGATCGTACAAGTGGATGAATCCAGGATACGAGATTGTACATGTGGCCGAAAATGAGGTCAAGCAGGTAGTACAAGCAGAGCCTTTAAGGAGGAAGGACTGGCCAAGTTTGCGAGATATGACAAACAGGGGACGTTCGGCGCTGCTTACATACGACCGAAGCACAAAGACGTCGAGAGATACCGTCCAATTTGCCCGCCGTACTCAGACCCGGCTGCAAGAACCGGGATGTGCGTTGCAAAAGCTTTGAACCACCTGCTGTTCAATCTACTAGCCCGATGGCATTTTAATCTGAGATCCGTCTCAGACGTTGCACAACGCATCGGGAAGATCAACAGTAGATGTGAAGCCAAGGCGCACTCTGTGGTGGAGTTAGCTGTCATGTCCTATGATATTAAAGACATGTTCAACAAACTGCCACACTCAGAGATTTTGGAAGCGGTTAATTGGATCATTGACCATTACCTGAGCAAGGGACGGTGCACTATTCGGGTCAACACGCGCAGTCGAGGCTGTTCCTTCGGGAAGACGACAGGCGGTGACCATTGGCGGGAGATGAAACTCGAGGATATCACGAGTTTTGTGCGAGTTGATTTGGCGCACACGTACGTCTATGCAACAGTACTACTCCTACGGCAGATAGGAGGCATCCCAATGGGCAAGAGCACGAGCCCCCCACTAGCGTGCATGCTGTGCGCGCTTTTGGAATGTAAATTCCTCAGCAACTTGGGATATCTGAGGAGCAGAGTACATGGGATGCGAGTCATGCGACTGATGGATGATGTGACCCTCATTGTGGACGCGGGAAGGAGAAGGCAGGAAAAAATGTGGAGGAAAATATCTGAGAGAGATTTGAGGGCTGCTACTCCAAGAATCTCACTTTGCAAAGGACAGTCAACGGAGAAGGGACATGGGATTTCCTCGGATTGGAGATGAGGACAAGGAGAACATCTCCATACGTGGGAAGCGTGCAGGTATCGAAGAACGAAGAGTCGGTGCGGGAAAATGAAGTGCTGGTTTTCAAGAATGGGCAGAGCTACCAATCATGGGCCAGCAAACAGCAAAAAAGTGCGGTAATAGCCAGCTACCCGCACCCGATCGATACTAACATGACCATTCGATCAGAGATCCCATGGCGAGTGTTGACACTCTGTCGGGAGCTGAGGCTGAAGAGCTTCCCTGACGATTTCGTGAAACGAACGATCAAGCGTTTCAGTAAAGTAACGGTTGAGATAAGATTTGGGAACTCGCGCGCGATTGGATTTGCAATTAGGAGTGACATGTGCGGACGGCTGCAGTAGTAGTAGGGAGCATAGCGAATGGGTGGAACACTAAGGTAGATGATGAGGATTGTACCTTAAGTACTAACATGGATGCTTTGGAACGTGCTATGACCAGTGCGCTCTGGGTGGAACGCGCTATGAGCCGTTGTCTGCAGTAGCGGTAGCGAGCATAGCGAATGGGTGGAACACTAAGGTAGATGATGAGGTTTGTACTCGGAAATGTTTGAGACACGTTGTGCGAGGTACGTGTGAGGCATTGCAACTAAGTATGTAGCACTGTGATGTAATCAGATCAGACGAGCAGTTAAGGCGTGTAATGAGGCTATATAGGATAGCAAAAGGCGTTATGTGTGGCGATTTGGGTGTCTTACCAGTGCAACTCGGACGTGTTCACTGGGATAGGGTTTGTTCGGAAGGACCAGGTAACAAGTTTTTTAGGCTGTAGGGTCCAGTTTTGTGGACCGTGGGTCGGGTACCGATTTCGTTTTCCACGATACACGGGACGGGTACCTGACTGGGACTAGTGTACGTCGTTAGACCGAGGACGGACGGAATGTACAGGAATGGGTGTAGGTCTGCGAATGTGTAAGCAATTACTGTGTTCTCCTCCATCTTTTGGGGTCTGACGGCGACGGAAGCCAGCCTAAAAATGGTTTGAGCGACGTCGAGGGCGGTGGGTGAGTGGATTGACGGAGTATTCAAGGGAGAAGAAGGTTTTTCCCCCTGAAGACGACCGCGTGGCGGCGGTCGAAACCTGTTGAGGTGCCATACCCGTCGGGGACACAGTCAGTGCACTTTGGCTGTACGCATGATGATGACTTTACGTCGAATGCAATACTGCGTTGTGTACTCGAGTTTGTGATATATTTGTGTGTGCTTCGTGTATACTTGTGTTTGCACACTGTTGCGATCTACTTGTGTATGCTTCGTGCATACTTGTCTTTTGCATGCTCTCAACTGCATCCACAACTACGGTGTTTTTCTTTCGTTTTTTTTTTTTTTTGCTAATCTAAGTCGCCGCTTTTTTAGGCACCTTTCTTCCAGAAGCATTTCTTTTGCAGCATAGTGGGATCACTGGGATGTATTTTTGCAGGATTTTGTTTTATTTTATTTTATTTTCACCTCCCGGGAACTGGGCCCAGCTTCCCAAAATGATTTAATTAGCAATACAAAGCAGAACAGCTTCCTGGAACAACATACAGCCTCGAAAGAGTCTCAAGACTCTCAACCTCTGTTCGGTTTTTTTTTTTTTTTTTTTTTTTTTTTTTTCAAGACCCGTGGCCCCATGCTAAACCTTCAAACACGGCTCTGGTATGCTATGGGTTTCCCCGTATGCCTATAGGTAGGAGTAGTGGTAGGTAGGTAGTGTGAGGAAAAATTGAGAGAAGAGTATAGTTTAAAAAAAAAAAACAAAAAAAAAAAACAACCTTCAATTGGAAACACCGAACCATGACAACTCGACCAGCAGTTTCTCAACCTAGGTTACCAGAGTGGACGGGGACCACTTGCCCGGCCGGGCCAAAAAACATAAATAAAAATATTTAAAAAAATAAACCCGGCGCCCCTTATATTTCAATAAGCCAGGAAACGGGCCAAATAATTTCGATATTTTCCTGAGGAAGGAGTTGCTAAGTTTATTTTTTTTCATAACATAATTTCTTTTTTTTTTTTTTTTTTTTTTTTTTTTTTTGTTGGTACCTTCCCTGCTCTTTGCCTAGCTGGGCCGCCCGGGAATAGAGGGTGACCCGGGCGGTCCGGCTGGTAGCCTAGAAAAAATGTAAAAAAAAAAACTATGTTATGCAGAAAAATAACCTGAACAACTTTTGCCTCAAAGTCAAGTGTAGACAAGAATTTCACTTCATCACCAAAGCAAAACCTAATTAAAAAAAAATCAAAAAAATCCTAGCGTACGAGCCCGGCCGCCCGGGCAACCAACTCTGAGGGCCTAGTTGCACTACTCAGCATCCACCAAGATTTTGAATGCATCTGCACAGACACTCTGTCCAGAATCAAAAATGTTGGGCGACGACGAGTGGTGTAACTACCGTCTTCACCCAAATAGAACGCCCGATAATTTTCACCGTATCTCGACTGAAAGCTGCACCAAGTAGTACAGCTATAATGACCGGGCATTCTAGTTGCACTACTCGCCATCCACTGAATGCATCTGCACAGACACTCTGTCCAGAATCAAAAAATGTTGGGCAATGACAAGTGGTGTAACTACCGTCTTCACCCAAATAGAACGCCCGATAATTTTCACCGTATCTAGACTGAAAGCTGCACCAAATAGTACAGCTATCTAGGCTACCAGCCGGGCCGCCCGGGTCCCGGGTGCCCAGCCCGTGCAAGGATCAGGTAAGGTCCCAGCAAAAAAAAAAAAAAAAAAAAAAAATCCAAAAATTCTGAAAAAAAAAACTATGTTATGAAGAAAAATAAACTGAACAACTTTTGCCTCAGGGTCACATCGAAATTCTTCACCAAATTTAAAATAAAAAATAAAATTCAAAACTATTTTATTTATTTATTTTTTTTTTAATTATTTTGGCCCGGCCGGGCAAGTGACCCCGGGCCACTCTGGTAGCCTAGACAGCTATAATGACCGGGCATTCTATGCGGGTTAAGAACGGTAGGCCTTTACGATCCCAGGGAACTACTTCAGAAAATTTACAGCTACATGCAAATGATGCAGACGACAGTCTGCAAAACACACAATCTTATCCGCTCATCGATGATGCATTCATTCACAAGTATGATTACCCATTTAGGGGAAAAAAACTAGGGCGCTGTCACCCTTTCAGTTTGTAAATGCGCTTCGGTCACAATTATGCGAATGTTTTGCAATGAACCCAGTCATACATGTATCGAGAGTCCAATGTCAAGTAACCAGATTGTCTCAGCGCAATGTGTGAGGCAAGCTCAACAATGTCGAAGCACAGAATGTCTCAGCGCAATTTCAATGTCTTCTCCAATCATACATGTATCAAGAGTCCAATGTCAAATAACCAGAGAAGAGAGTGAAGGGAGGGAGATTAGACTGAGAGAGTGGAAGAGAAAGTACCCATCAGCTATAGCAGCCCACTCCTCCCTCGGGTATCTCCCGCGCGCCATGTCAGCAGACAGTTCCGTCTGGCGCACAAGGCGCAGACTCCTCCTGAAGACAACAGCAGCGCGCAATGTCGACACAGTCGTGAACAGGTAAGCTCTCCCTTCCTCAATTGACCAATCGCACAGCCCTGATCCTCCTCCTCCGCCTCCTGCTCGCCGTAATCCAATCAATGTCGTAGACAGCATGGCTGATGCCATGTCGTCATAGTCTCTGTAGAAGACAGTGTGGTCAGCGCCACATCCGAAAGTCTCTGAACCAGCTGGCGTCGAAGATAGAGATGGCGCCGGCATAGTCTATGCGGATGACAGTGTGGTCAGCGCCAGCGTCGAGTAAACGCAATTATCA